GAAATATACAAAAAGGGAGAGAGGTTACATTTTCTTTTCTATGTTTGCTCAAGGCTTATTCATTGCCGCCATCTGGAACATTCTTTTCAAGGAACGTGTAAAAGAAGCATTCAGTCCTTGGAAAAACCACAACAAACAAATCAGGCTCCCGTTTCAGTGTTCTGTGACTCTTTACCTGCATAAGAAGAATTTTAAAATAAAGTAAAATTAGTACTTTAACATATCACCAACTCTGGGCAGGTATCTTAGGCCCAAAACAGTTGGATATATCAATTAAGCACATTGGAGCAATTCAATCTTGCTATCTAACTTCTTCATCTTGCTTCTTGTTAATTAGAATCTGATAAAAGAATTATGCTTTAATAAATTAAATACAGTTGGACAAATAGCAAGCATTATGAAAAATATGAATAAAGTTCAGTTTGCAGCCTCTAGGACAGAGAACTGAGGTTATGGTGTGAGTCTGTCCAGAACTATGTGTTTGAGCAGTGTGTTCAGTGTGAGTCTTGGCCCAGCCCTGGAACACAGTTGCTAGGAGCCAGGAGTCGAACCAAGTGGGCAGGGTCTGGCAGGGCAGCTTAGATGACCCCAGCCACTGGTGTGTGTACTTTGCTCTTGAGTGTGCCAGCCGCCTCACATTGCTTGCACCCTCTCCCCCCAATTATGAGTGACTCATTGTTGAGTAAGTGCCTCATTCAAACCCAAACCAGCCCTGGACCCTGGGGAGCATGGAGGTCACTCTTTGTTTGCTTTTTTGTTTGTTTGTTTGGGTTTTGGTGTTTGGTTCGGTTTTCTTCTAGAAACTCTTACCTCTCTACTGAGGGAGGGGAGGGCCAAACCCCAAGTGGATATGTGGGCTCTGAATTACCAGGAAATTTTATTTTTTTTACAGGAAGGAAAGGAGCTCGTGGTTGGTTAATAGCCCCAATCTAGTATATACACCAGTTACATCAGGTCTGATAACTCTGCTAAGTGGCAGTCAGTGAGGACTCAGATAATCCTGTTAATAATTTGTCACCCTATATGCTATTCAAGCATCAAAACTTTTCGAACAATCGTGTGCAATAAGAACAGGCTCTGCTGTAAAATGACTCACACATTTTAATTTTTGTTGATCCACAAGTATTTGTCTCTTGCCCTGCCCAAGAGGCATTGTGATATTAGCATTGCACTGTGTATATGCAGAAAGATGCGTTGATATGGTGACAGGTAAGTGCACTGTTACCTTATTTATTTGTAAGCTCCAGGCCTTTGTAGAAAATAAGACACTTAGAAAGGAAGGAGGGAAACCTTTGGTCTGAAAACCAGCTCTGCTGATAATTAGCTGACATCACCAGGGCTAGTTTCCTCTCCTGTAAAATGAGGAATTGGATGAGCTACTATTTTAAGGCCAATCACTGCCCAGTCTCTAATTCCAGATCTTCCCACCTCATGTTTTATCTTGAATTCATTGATAATTGCTGGAAGTTCCAAGGTCCCCTTTTTCTTACATTCTAGTCTCATGTTTTAGGAAAGTTATTTCATCTGATTGGCTTGTCCCGAGCATTTTCTGGATAATATGACGTATTAAGAACAATAGGACTCCAAACTAAGAGCCATAGTCAGAGTAGGTTACTCCCAGGCTACAATGACAGTGACTTAGAGTTAATTCTGACAGAGCTATGATGCTGCCTCCTAGGCAAGCAATAAAATCTCACCTTTAGAAAACGACCTGTGATGTAATCAGCTCTTCATCATGTTAAGTGATTAAATGTCTTCTGGGATTTTTATCCTGTCATCTCACAACTGATCAATTTGTTTTCCTTGAAAGTTTAGCCTGGGCAGGCCAGCAGGAGAATAAATGTATCTTCAGGTGAACTGAGGAGGGAGCTTTCTGTAGAGTCACTTCTCCTATTGGACGCTCTACAGAGCTTTGTGAATTGCTGCTTTATGTGGCCACTCAGAGGTCAATGCTAAAGAGTAACTGGAAACCGTATTTAAGGCCACATTAAACATTGCCAAGAACTGTGAACTGTTGGCCTATGAGTTTTCCAAATGTGGGAATTTTTTTTTTCTTTTGCATAATTTTCCATAAGAAGCTGTAGTGCCCCTAATAAAGGCAGGCTGTCTAGCTGCTGTTTTTGTTTTACCACCTTGAAAGTGAAAGAGACACGGCCCCCAGGGCTGCCCAGGGCAGGGCACCAATTCTCAGAGGGAATTCTAAAACAGTGTGACCTGGAACAAATCAGTTACCTCCTGAGTGTGTCAGTTTTCAAGCGGCCTGGCATACATTTTTAAAAAATAATATCCAGATGCTCTACTTTGCTGCTTTAGATTCTTTTTGCAGTGCGTCAGTGTACAGATAGTTCAACATATTATTAAACTTAATTAAATCTCTCCAAAGTGTGCTTGTGCCAGGAATGCACCATAGGAAATGAGGGGCTTTATTTATTTTTAAGATATAAACGTTGGCATTCTTGTTTACGCCAAGGTGCACAACAACACAGCCCTGGTCGACAAATTGAAGCGATTCCAACAGGAGAACGAGGAATTAAAGGCTCGGATGGACAAGCACATGGCAATTTCAAGGTAAAAATAAAACGGTCCTGTTTTTCCTGGGGTCCTCCCTTCCTCGAACTTTGAGTGTTACTTTCTTCCCACGCTCCATCCAAGTACCTCCTGGAAACGCAACTGAAGCGGGTGGTTAAAGAGGTACTATTTCTATCTGGAAAATATGATGGTAGCACTTCATGATTTTACCACACTGGCCTGGACCAAATGCTGAGACCTCAGTGGGCCAGCCTTCCCCCGGGGCCCCCTGGCTTGTTGACACCAAGAATGCTTTTGCAGAAGGAGCATCACAAGACCAGACAGGAAGCAGCCCCAAACACCAGACAGTCATAAGACATGCAGAATATTTGTGGGAGCAGCACTCAGCCTACTATGAAATTGCCCCCAAAAGTGCAACTTTTGCTTTGGCTCAAGCTCACTTTTCCAGGGCTTCTCAGCCAGCCAACAACCCGTGCCCAGGAGCTCAGTGCAGACCTCCCTTTTATTGCAAAGGGATCATGTTTTGGGTTCTCAAATATAAAATGGTAAGAGAATTTTTTTCAAGTTATTTATTTTTAACTCAGATCCACATGGTTTCTGGCTCTCTTTTGTCTTGAAGGCAACTTTCCACCGAGCAGGCCGTCCTGCAGGAGTCGCTGGAGAAGGAGTCGAAAGTCAACAAGCGACTCTCCATGGAGAACGAGGAGCTGCTGTGGAAGCTGCACAACGGAGACCTGTGTAGCCCCAAGAGGTCCCCCACGTCCTCCGCTATCCCCTTCCAGTCGCCAAGGAACTCGGGCTCCTTCTCCAGCCCCAGCGTCTCACCCAGATGACGCTGTCGGAAAGCCGGGAGACTGTCGGAAGGCATTTCTACAGGTCTGCAGGGCTGACCCAACCGTGACCGTGGGAGCAAGAGCTGCATTAGCTGCCGTGTAACTACCGCCCCAGAACTAGAAAGTTCCCACCCCCAGAATTGGCTCCTTATGAGACTGGAACTCTGGAGGAACACTTGACTCTGTCCAAGAGACTCCTCCCCAGAAGATCTCGGAATTGGTCTACACGGACGCCGTCGCACAAAGCACTTAGAGAACAAGAACCTTGTTCATTGCCTTTTCACCTAAGCATAAGGGGAAAAACTCTCAGGGGCCTATTAAGATAAAGATTTATAACCTTTGTAATGTTCTTCACCACAGACACCTTGTGACTTTTATTTTGGTCTGACTGGGGATGTGTGAATGAGATGGATGTAACAGAGTGTCATGTGTCTGATGCTGCCTCCTGTGCTGTGTATTCAAAGTCAAAAGCTGAATATATCTGGATATGTACTAATCAAATCATAGTCAGTGTATGCATTTCTGCAAAAGCCATACAAGAGCAAGCAATAGTTGCTTGAATTCTGGTTCTCTAACACCACCTCCGCTCAGCCCTTTGACATGGGGGGAGAGGGAATGGCACGAAAAGCTTTGACGTGTCCGTGTCTGTACATCCTCAACATCCTTTTGGAGTATCTTGTTAGCAGTCTTTCAGTGTTCAGCTATGTCAGTTGAAACTAGCTAGATTTTTTTCTGTAGATTTTTAACTTACCCATGCGAACCTAACATTACACTACGATCCATTTCCTCAGGCTAGGAGCAAATATAGAACTGTAATTTTTCTAGAAATCTGTATATAAAGGGCAGTACCAATGGATTACTTCTGCCTTATGTTTATGTTGATCTAAGCTATCCTCACGGATTTAAACTATCTTCTTTCCCGTTATCTCGTCTCCTCCCTTTCCTTCCTCCCCCATCCGGAGCCACAAAAGCAAACCTTCTACCTCCTTTCTTCTTTTCTCTGGGACAAGGAAAAAGGAATATTCTTTTCCAGAGCCAGGTCATCTTCAAGGTACTGAAACCACTTTCCAAGTAAACCAAGGCCTGGATCTGATAGTACAAATTTTGGGAAATCCTAGAGGGAGTAAAGAATGAGAGCGAGTCATTGGCTAGCAGAACTAAGCAAGATAGCATTCACTGCATACTGATGAATAGGAGCACCTTGATTAAATCAACAATGCAGTATTGAATAAAACAAAACAGTCTGGTCAGATAATGCTAAGTTTCCACGTACCCTTTGAGGAATCCTTCTGTCATTGGGAAGGTGGCAAAATGGCCAGCCAACAAGTGGAAAATGTGGCTTGTACAACTCAGAGGATCCTCTGAGTTGCATTTCGATTTCTTTTCAAAACTTATTACCTCCCCTAGTTCTGATACTTTGTGGGGAGGTGGAAGGAAGAACTGTGGCTTTTTGTCCCTCTGCTTGGGTATGTCAGCATCGTGATGTCAATATTTACTAATCTGTGTTGCTGATGTTCAATGGCTGTACAAAGAACCCTGATGGTAAGAACAGATTCAGGCTACTAGAGGTGTATGTTTGAGTCATCATTTACATGTACGTTACATAGCAAACTGATAGTCATGATGCATGTTTTTTTTAAATTAGTGATTGTGTCTGAAGTCTTTTACCTCCAATAGATTATTATGTATGTAACCTTCTCTGCTTCTCATAAATGGGAATATAGGTTCACTACCACTTCCTGGAATATCTCTCTGCTCACCCTTCTAAGTTCTCAATGTCATTAGCCAAAGTTAGGTTTGCCATCCAACCCTCCGCATGGTAAATCTTGTGCTGTTCCCTGCTGTCCTCCATACCATTTAGGTGTCTGGGGAAATCAGTCTTACACAATTAATAGAAAATGTCTTCAGAGAATGGAGGCAACAGGAGAGAAAATAGGAAACAAAACAGAGAACTTCAAGATTTTTTTCAAACCAAATGTTTTACGTAGGATGTAAAATGTTGGCACGTCATAAAAATATGGATGTGTAAACAACTATAGTTGTGCTCAGTTTGTAGTGATGGAAAGTGTATTTTACTTTGATCAAATAAATAATGCTGGAATATTCGATATGTGAATTGCAACCATTGACATATTTCACTCTTCAAAATGTAACCCAATTTATAGCCCCTCTCACAGCACAGGAGTTGACGTCGTGTCTCCTCTTAAGCTATTTCCCAGGAATTTCCAATACAACCACAAAATTGGTCATGGGCTGACATTTGGCTCACAGCTAGACTTAGAGCTAAGCTTTTCTAAATTCAAAGCCATGCGTATTTGAGAAATAAATTTTGACTGGTTTTAACAATTTCTGCTCTATAAGGTAAGAAAATTGGAACAGCTATGGTCTGAATATTTTGAAGATGGCAAAAAAGTCTAAACAGAGTTGAATCTTTGATCTGTATATCTCTTTTGTATTGAAAGTTAAACTTTTAAACACACATGCTCTAGTTCTTTGTGGAATGGACTCATCTAGAATTGGTACCTTTTTTTTTTTTTTTGGTGAGGAAGATTAGCCCTGAGCTAACATCCGATGCCAATCCTCCTCTTTTTTGCTGAGGAAGACTGGCCCTGGGCTAACATCTGTGCCATCTTCCTCTACTTTATATGGGACACCGCCACAGCATGGCTTGACAAGTGGCATGTCGGTGTAAGCCCGGGATCCGAACCTGCAAACCCCGGGTCGCTGCAGTGGAGCGTGCGCACTTAACCACTGAGCCACCAGGCCGGCCCCTAGAGTTAGTACTTTTGAGTGCAGCAATTTAAAAAAGCAAGTATACGTGATTTTTTTTTCAATATCTTCATAACCCACATTAGCTTTAAAGTGGCTGCTGAGGAAAAAGTGGCTTGTCTAGCATTAAAATCTTAAGTTGCCGTGAATAAGTAGTTGAACTGTATATCACTACATTTTATATTCTCATTTTTGTGGTGGTTAAATCAAGTAGAATACTGATTTATATCAAGTAGAATATTAGGTATTTACCCAAACATTGCTGCCAACAAGTCCTTCTGGATGTACTTCAAACCAACTTATAAAAAACAAGAGCACTTAGCCTGCTTATTTTTTTTACAAAAACTTGCTCATTTAATAGAAAATGATTATATAAAGTTGTTTACATATATGCTTTCTTAGTAGAAAAAGTAGAAACGCATATACGTGGGTAAGCAATTGAAATACATGCTTTCTGTTAGAAGAGTTAACATGTCTGTTATTAGACCGGATGACTTCCTTTTAGTTGGGTTGTCTGGGTCTAACTTACAAAGCAGGGGTTGGGGTTTGGCGCTGACATCAGCCTCTGGCAAAGCACTAGTTGAAAGAACCCCAAAGCTGGTTGTGTACACAAATGGGCTTTCTATCAGTTCATTAGACTGCATTTTCCACGTCAGGAAAACTCAACAGTGGTAGCGACTGTAGTCTGTCCTTGGAGATTCTGAGCCGTGCAAATGTAATATCCTGCATCAGTGGTCTCAAAATCTTCAACTGTCATGATGCTCTGGGAGATTCTTGTGGTGTGTGCCAGTCCTCTGTGGATCAGCCTCCATGTGTCTTGGATCCTCACAGGCCTTTCATCCTGTTGAACAACACCCACAAGGACTGAAGCACCAACGACAAGCGGCTGTAAACAGCTCCCATTCACCCAACACTATTGTGCGTTTCTTTCAACGTGCAAAACACATGCTTAGAAAAGACTAGTTGGTACGCGTAGCTCATAGAGCTTTTACACTGGATAATCATTTTAGGCTGCATTTTTTCCAAGCAGAGTCTTGAATTTCATTATTCTGTTTGGCTCTCTCTTTCTGCCTTTTTCTTCAGTGAGTTCTTAATATAAGATTTATTCCTTTGGAACTGCAAGAATGTAGAACTGGCATAAAAACATGGATCAAGTTTTCCACTGCTCTTCACAATGCCCACTTGCACCCCCTCGCTTAGTAGTTCTTAGTCACAGAATTTAAAGTCAAAGAGAAGTCCAAAGCTCTCGCCGTGTAAATGAATAAAAGCTCCCGATTGTTCAGATTTGGAAGAAGAAGTATGATTAGTCAAATGTGCCAGAGGACTCCAGGGGGAGAAAGCTGTACAAGGATGGATAATGTGATGCCCTAGATGACATAACTCCCTATTTCTAGAAAGTGAGATGGTCACTTTTGAGATCCTTCATCCAACTTTGGTGATAACATAATGTTTTCTGGATTAGTTTAACATAATTGTAATATTTATAGTACTAAATATGCTTTCTGCTCATAAAATAATCATTAGCAACATAAAAGAAGAAAACCTCTATTGAAAATCATTAGTGTCTTCTAAGTGTGACAATTCTTTTTAAAAACGAGTACCTAGTTCCAGGATACTAGAAAATACTATTCTCCAGGGAGAGTTATTTTCCACCAATCATAGCCCTTAAGTGAGAAGTTTACTGGCTACTAAGTATGTCTCAGGAGGCCAAATCTCTTCTGGCAACAAAGGGATTGTTCCGTGTTGGTAGAGAAGCTGTTTATTTTAGTGAGTGGAACATGCAGAGGCTAACGAGGCTGTAGATGCTCTTTTGAGAAGTCTATTTTAAAATGCTCTGTGGCCTCACAGCACCTTTGGACAGGCCTAGGCTTATATGCCCACTTGGTGGATGTCTGCCCAGAGCTGCTCGCCACGGGGCACAGCTTGTACAGAAGAGAACACGCTGAAGGATACCAGAAGGAGGTTAGATTGGCCTCTCATCAACCCGGAATGAAGACTGAAGATTGAGGTTGGCATGGAGAAAGAGGGAACCCTCTTCTTTCTCTTGCATGCCCCTTTCCCTTCTTAAGTTTATGAGGAAAGACCGCATAGGAAGGGGGTACATTGAATGAATTGCCTAATGGAACCCTGTCACCCTTTTTCCTATCCTTTTAAAAAAAAAAAAAGCCATTTGTAAATATACTGAAAGGTCTTAGAGGAAAACAAGCAAGCCCTGGCCCTTACCATAGTCCCATGCATTTCCTGCCCTTCTTAAGTTATGGCTTATCTCACTGGGAGGTGGGGTGGGGGAAAAACTGAGTTAACACGGCTGGTTGAGACTGGGGTACAGCACTTACCTTCTGTCCTGGGTAGATCCACCTGAATTCCACCTCAACATCAGGCTCCCCTAGGACAGTGCAGAGGACACTGATGTCATCCCCACCTTTTACTTTGTTTGAGGACGCCAAGATGGTTGTTGAGGGAGGGCCGCTGGGAACTGGAAGTAAGCAGGAGACAGGGCAAGTGAGATGAAATCCATGAGTACAACGTTAGAGACAAACCTACAGACATTCTTTTCTTTGGACAGATATGTAACATTTCTGTCTTTCTTCCAGCCTCCCAAGAGCACCAGGCCTACTCTATCCCACCACTTTTGGTTTCCTTTGAAGCCTCCTCTCTCTCTCTGCCTTGGTGGTCCAGGATGAGGTAGTTATCCAGAACTCCCCAGGTCCAGCCATTACACCTGTAATTAGAGGAGGAGGCTAAAAGGTCTGCCGGGGGGTCATGTGAAGGGAATGAAACAGTTGAGGAAGAAGGTATCTGGGGGTAGGGCAAGCGGAAGGTAGAGAAGGCAGCCAGAGAGGTGAAGATGAACAGAGAAGGTATGTGACTGTCATCAGAAGAGGAGAAAGTCTAAATCTACTAATGAGAAAGATGTTCGCAGGAAGGGCGGGAGTGCTACCTACATTTGCAGTGCCTTTACGTCACAGCATTTCAGAAACAAATTTCCTCGTTACTGTCGGTTCATTAATTTTGATGGCAGCCTTGAGTAAGAAGGCAATGTGCTAGGAGCTGGGACAACGGCAGCGAACAAGACAGACGTGGTCTCTGAGCCCCTGGGGCCACTATTCTAGTGGAGGAGACAGACACTAAGCAAATGGTCGTGTGGTTAATTTAAAACATGAGTTGTGTTAAGAACTATGAAGGAGAAGCCCAGAGTACTCCAGAAGTTCAGAATAGTCTGAGAAGGAGGAAAGTCTTCCTTGAGGGAAATTTGAACTAAAATCTGAGGGGTGAGTTTAACAGGCATGGAAGGACAACGGGGGGCGTGGACAGACCAGAATTGTGGTGTGCAAAGCCCCCACAGTGAGAGGGAGGAAGGCCAGGATAGGCTGCAGAGCAGGGAGGAGGGCAGAGGCCAGTCATGCAAGGCCTTTCAGGCACGTGGAAGAGAAAAAAGGTGGGCATGGAGGAGACCAATTGGAAAGGTGTTTGCAGTAGTCCAAGAAGGAGATGATGATATCTTGAACTCTTTGTGCAGTGAGGATGGAGAGAAACAATAGGATTTGAGAGAAATTTAATGGAAAAAGTCAAAAAGATAGAGGAGACGAGAGGGTCAGGTTGACTTCTAGTCTCAGGCCTGTGTACCAGGGAACTGCATTGCCATCACAAAGCTGAAAAACCCAGTCCAGGAGGAAGATCCAGAGTGCAGGGAAAGGCCTAGGAAGCCCCTGAGCACAGACATGAACTAGGCAGTTGGACACGTGAAGCTGGAACTCCCAGATCTGGGCCACATAAATTCACTTGGGAGTCAAGAGTGAACAGATACACAGCAGAGCGTGGATACGGCTGAGCTGGCCTGAGCTGGCCTAAGAAGAGAACAAGGAGTGAGAAGGAAGGTGCCTTGGGCAACTCCAACATTTATAAGCTGGGAGAGAGCTAAAGAGCTGACAAAGCAGAATGAGAAAGTTGAAGGGAAAGCAGGGAAAAAATGGGGCCAGGGAAGATGGGGTTTCATGCAGGAGAGGCAGAGTCTAGTAGGATGAGGACGGAAACTTGTCTGCTGGATTTAATGGCCTGGGAGGCCCTGAGGCCCTTTGCAATAGCTGTTGGTGACACACAGGAGAGAAAGCTGAGCAGCGTGTGGAAGGGAAGGAAATGGAGACAGGGAAGGGGAGAGCCCTTTCAGGGAGTTTGGCCGTGATAGGAAAGAGATATGCTCTTAGCCAAGGGCTGAGGGTGGTCAAAGGAGGGTAGTGAGAGTTATTTGGGAACAGAGTGTTGGGGACCATGGCCTAGTGAATAACCCCACGGCCTAGTTCTCACCCCACGGCTGAGAACAAGAGGCATTCAGGAGCCCAAGTTCTCACCTCAAAGAGCAGCTAGCTCCTGGGGCCACTCGTCCCCCCACAGGGCTGCCCAAGCAGCACCATGCAGTAGAACAGACTCTACCCCACACACAGACCACTCACCCCGGGTCATGCAAGAGTTCTCGGAGGGAGAAGAGTCATCACTGAGGGACTATAGTGCGTGAAGAGAAACCATCTCCTCTCACTCTCAGGGGTTGGCGAGGGGGTGCCTTCTCTCCTGGAAGTCAGGGGAGGGAGGCCCAAGAGAATCACTTGTCAAGGAAGGGGAGGTGATAGGTTGTTTTGCAGTAGATCTGCTTGCCGGCTGCCCCTGTGCCACCAGCCCAGGGCTGGAGACCACTGGGAGGGGTGGCATGGGGGGGTGCCAGGTGGATAGGGCAGCCAGATTGTGTCCCTGCTGTAAGTTTCTGCTCCAGAAAAATGTTACATGCTCCAGAGTCAGGGGATTAGAAGGACATAGAAATTTTAGGGCTACAGCCTTTCTGAGACCACATTGCAGCACAGAGCAAAGAGATACACAGGGACAGCGGAGGCCTTCAGCTGAGAGTCCAGAAGGAGGACAAGGCTGAATCTGAGAGGGGCCTAAGGCACCACAGGCTGCTTAGGGGTGAGTTCCGTATCACCCATGACAAGGTGTTGGAGCCACCATCTGTCCCCATGGGGTTCACAGACAAGCCCAGTCAGCATTTACTACCAGGGGATGAGTGCTTCTGGACTGCAGCCTCTCCCATTGTCCCCTCAGGCCAGCACCAGAGCAGGGAGGGGAGGGGAGCTAGACTGTCTCCCCCACTAACACCCCCACTCTACCCCTCACCCCCAACTCCAAGCCACTGAAGTCACCAGTGTAGCTCATGCCAG